ATCGTCACATCATTCTATATTGACTTTACTCTTTGTTTTTTCTTTTTATTCAGGTTTTAAGAAACAAAGGTGTGTATGAAAATGTCAAGTTTGTACAGCAGGAGAACTTTTGGATCGGGCCGAGCTCGGTAAGCACTCAAAAAAAAACACACAAACAAATAATCACTTGTTCATCGATGTCCACTTCACTTTGACTTTTCCTCCATCTCTCCTGTGTTAGGAATCTCTGATCCACTTGGGGGCCAAATTCTCTCCGTGCATGCGGCAGGACAAGCAGGTGCACGATCTTATCAGGGAAAAGAGCGCTGTCGAGCGTAACTCCGCCTGCTGTGTGCGGAACGATCGCTCTGGATGCCTCCAAACCTCAGAGGAGGAATGCTCGGTGTGTGAACGCCCCAAATTCTTATTTGTTTCGTTACCTTTTTAATTAAAAAAATAAATAAATAAAGTGGCGGGTTACTTCTTCTCACCGATTCCGTTTGTGGTTTCATTTCCAGAGTACTCTAGCTGTGTGGGTGAAGTGGCCCAAGCATTCCAGCACGCCCAAGTTAAATGGTGAAGACAGACAACACGGCTCTGTGTGCCACCAGGATCCGAGGTAAGAGACTTTTCATAGCAGATTAAAGGTGAAATCTCCTCATAGCAATTTGGTAAACGTGATATGTCCATCTTCACTACAGGATATGTTTAGAGCCTGCCTCAGTATCACCTCATGAATGGCCGGACGACATCACCAAGTGGCCAGTGAGTAAAAAAGAAAACCCCGTCTGGTATAAAGACGTAAAGCAGGGACTCCTATCTCATCCTCATCTTCGTCAACATTATCATTTTGTATTTTTAAATCCTCGAGAAGAGAGAAGAGGCGGATACAAATAAAATCATCAGAGAGGTCTAGGGTGCAATAACAAGAGCAGAGAATAAAACAGGAAGTTCATATAATACAGTGAAAAGGGTTAATGTTATACACGGAAATAGAAAGAGAATAAGATCCGCAATTTGATTGGGCGTTGAGGAAAAGCTTGAAAGGAATTCATTGTTCTTGTTCCAGTATTTTAAAAATAGCTTGATTTGCATCAGAAGAATGTAAAAATTTGAAAAAACATTGAAAATAATCGCTGCTCTCAGGGTCTGTCTGTAAATGTATTCCATGCAAACAATGGATACATTTGCCTTTGATGTTACTAGCGGCATATTCAAGTTATTTCTCTCTCGCTCTGCTTGTTAGGACTGTTTCACATCACTTCAAATCGACATGTACGCTCTATTATGTTTCTTCTTTATTTATGGATTTACAATTTGAAACGTTACAAATTTAAATCCCTGCGTCAAAAAAAAAAACAACATAAAAAAATGCTTTGACTTTCAGATTTGTACCAGGTACAACACAGGAAACCACACCAACCTGCCTCACATAGACTGTACCATCACAGGCCGACCCTGCTGCATCGGAACCAAAGGGAGGTGAGGAGAGCAAGTTGACCTTTGACAAGCGTTCTTTTTCTTTTTTTTTGACTAGTACGACTCAGGATGTACTGATTTAGCAAATGTGTTTTGTTGTTGTTTTTTTATTATTCAAGGTGTGAAATCACATCTCGGGAGTATTGCGACTTCATGAAGGGCTACTTTCACGAGGAGGCAACACTCTGCTCTCAAGTAAGCTGCTGACCTTCTCCACACAAATGACAAACTTCTTTTTGGCTGCATGTGCTGCTATTTGAAATCTAGTGTGCATGTGAGTACTTACTGAACACCAAACAAGATTTTTTGGTGAAACTTTGAAACTTTCTCCAGGTGCACTGCATGGATGATGTCTGTGGACTGTTGCCATTCCTCAACCCTGAGATCCCAGATCAGTTTTACAGACTCTGGCTGTCACTTTTCCTTCATGCTGGGTGAGTCAGAAGCTGTCCAGATCATTGAAAGTAGATGTACTTTTTTAAATATGTACCTGGCAGAACAGTTGGGCAAAAAAATGAGAAAGGTTTTCATATTACAACTACTGAGTGTTATTTAGAGAGATTTTATTTAGTGATCTTATTGAAGCACCATTTATCTCTTAAGGTCATGCTATGGATCGGTGAAAGCACAATTTGAGAAGGACCGACAGTCTGATACGGATGTACTGCATCGTTGTGCTTGTACACAGCAGTGACGGAGCAGGATTATTAAAAGATCCAAATCAGAGTCGTCTGTCACAAACAAGGAAATTGTCAGGAGCTCCTGTTGTACTCATAGTCACAACAAAAGGAATGTACTGAAAGATAAAGACATATAGACAGAAATTAGACAGAAGACAGAAAAACACTGCAAACAATGGGAACCAACCAGCTCCTGTTTAGCACAACAGAATGAAGGGATGATCTTTCGTTTCCACATCTACTGCTCAGTGGTATCACACTAATGTGTATTCCAAACATCATATAAAATAGTGTGATTCTGAAGAATACACCATTTAGTGTAATTACAATGAATGCTCTCAGTAAAATGTTTGGCTGATTAAGCTAAAGTGCGACCAAGAGAAGCGCCAATTTTGAATCAAACTGCTCTTCTCTTAGCTGAGCCAATGATCCGGATCACTGAAAAGTAGGGCTGGGAATCTTCTGGTGTCTCACGATTCGACACGATTTAAAGTCTATTTTGGAATTAGTACATACTCCAGGATCAAGTCATCTGTGAGACTTGCTGAATTTTTCCGGTCCATTTGGCTTTCTACTGAGTCAATTTTTTTGAAGTTATGAATCTATTTAAAATATCAGAAGATAAGAATCTTGATTTTTTTTTTTTTTTTTTTTTTTTTTTACCTAAATCGATTTTTTTCCCCCACCTCTTCTAAAAAGAGACGTAATTTCCATCACCAGCTATATCTACATAACTGGTTATCAGCGGTGTCTGGAAATGTATTTTCCTGTGATATATGAAGACAGACACTCAGCACAAGGAGCTGACCTCGCTGTGAAGAGGAGCAGTGCTTCATCTTGGAGCTTGTCTGTTATCTGTCCTCTGGGTAATTAAACAAAGTGCCCTCGCTACACGAACTCATTAAGCTTCACAGAGACGGAGAGCGATTTTGTCGATGGGCTGTTGAGGATTTTTTTTTTTTTTTCCCCCTCTTGTACTCAGAGGAATTATCCTCCCAACACATCAAGGCTTTTCAACATACTTAGGCAGACATACAGCAGGTCACATTGCACACACGTGAGCGCTGTGTCCATTTCTCCCCAGGATCCTTCACTGCCTGGTGTCGGTGGCTTTCCAGATGACCATCCTGAGGGACCTGGAGAAGCTGGCTGGCTGGCTGCGTATCTCAATCATTTACATCATCAGTGGCATCACTGGCAACTTAGCCTCTGCCATCTTCCTGCCCTACAGAGCAGAGGTGATCAGCAACTATATCACAAATGATGTGTCCAATTTTTCACCAGAAGTATACACTCATTATTATTGATTGACAGCTTCCTTTTATAACCTTCACATTTATTAGCTCTCTTAGACTTTTCTAAATGTGTTGCAAATTGTCTTTGCACATCTCAAAATGCACATAACATTCAAACAAACATCTCCCTGCTGTCTTTGTCTCAGGTGGGGCCAGCCGGCTCTCAGTTCGGGATCCTGGCCTGCCTGTTTGTCGAGTTGTTTCAGAGCTGGCAGATCCTGGCGCAGCCCTGGAGAGCCTTCACCAAGCTGCTGTGTGTGGTGCTCTTCCTTTTGCCTTTGGGCTCTTGCCCTGGATCGACAACTTTGCCCACATTAGTGGCTTCATCTCCGGTTTCTTCCTGTCCTTCGCCTTCTTACCCTACATCAGTTTCGGCCGCATGGACCTGTACCGCAAACGCTGTCAGATCATCGTCTTCCTGCTGGTGTTTGTCGGGCTCTTCTCAGGCCTCGTGGTGCTCTTCTACGTCTACCCGATCAAGTGCGACTGGTGCGAGTTGCTCACCTGCATCCCCTTCACGGACAAATTCTGCGAGAAGTACGACCTCAACGCTCACCTCCACTGAGCTGTGGACGGCGTGAGCACAACCTGGGAGGCATCAGGTCAAAGGATGCGGACTAGCAGATGTTCAAAGCCGTATACTCTGTTCCCCACTCTCTGTGACTGTGACAATATAATTGTGTTTTTTTTACTCTGTCAGTATCAATACCTATGCCACTCCTCTTAAGGACTCCCTTTAATCACTTCCTTGTTCCTGTGCAGTCTTTGTCCTGCCTTCACTGTCTAGTGGGACAAAGGTACCACAATTCCGAACTTCATCAAAGCTCCCAGCTGCCCTACACACACGTGAGGCAGGAATAAGAGAAGCCACCGCTGGTACAGAGACAAGGAATATCTCTTTTTTTTTTAATTTACAGTCACACTCAAAAAAACAAAAAAACAAGACAAAGGTTGTATTGTTATTCAGGCAACTTCATACAAAAGCAGGGACAAACATCTTACATTGATACCTTTGGTGCCTTGTTGAAAAATGTACCAACTACTGCCATATTTTTGTTACGTTACGCTGAGCACTCGAATGTTTTCTTTATTTGGTGTATTGCTTCCCAAGAAGTGATGATTGTTCTGAACATGGTAGTGTTTTAGCTACCTGTCTACTCACATGTAACTGAAACAGAAAACAGAAAAAAAGAAAATGTACAAATTAAAATGGTCTTTGATTTCTATTTATGGCTTGAAATTTCTTTTTTTTTAAAGGTTTTTTGGGGGGCTTGTTATGCCTTTTATTGAGGTAGGACAGTGGATAGAGTCAGAAATCAGGGAGAGAAAAGAGAGAGAGAGAGAGAGGGGAATGACATGCAAGGAAACAAAGCCACAGGTCGGATCCGAAGCTGCCCGCTTGGAGGACTACAGCCTCCCTACATGAGGCATGCGAACTAACCATTACGCTACTGTCGTCCCCCGAAAAATGCTTATTCATCATCTTCTGATTTATTTATTATCATCATACAGATTTACAGTTCACAACACAATATTTATTATGGCCACATGATCAATATGTACATCATTAAGGTTACTTCCTGTTATCAGTTGTTACAGGAAGGATTCATCACAGCTGTCCTTTTCATACCTAATGTATGCTAAAAAAAAATCACATTGCAAACACTGGATTGTGAGTTATTTGACAAATTACAATAAAAAAAATATTAAACTGAATAAGCCAATATAATACTGACAACAGAGGGGACATTATTTGATGTCTGTTTCACATCTAATGCAAAGCAACTGTTTACATTTCTGTGCAGGAACCCCTCCTGGTTCCCTCAGTCCTTCAACAGTCATCCTTGTTCAGTGAGGTCATGTGAGGAGCTCACAATCGGAGGAACAGACAGACCTTGTAACAAATATTGGATGAGGTCTATTGCTGCACACTGGCTCTTTGCCACTATCTGTCCATCTGTCAGCTTTGTTTTGTTAATCTTTTCTGCCGTGAGTTCAGGTTAGAGGTAAGTGGACAGAGTGTGTATGGGGTTGGGGGGGTAGGACCTGATAGACTAGCAGCCGCTGTTCCGTCTTGTGTACGCCTGCCCGCCGACCATGTACTCCATCTCTTGGAATTGCATGTTCGATACGGAGATGGCCGATGGCCCTTTCTCCTTGAAACCCGCCTTTTGGTAGAAGGGCACAAGGAAGTCCTCGCAGATCAGCAGAGCTCTCCGGAGACCCGGCACACAGCGCAGGTACTGCAGGTAGCGCCACAGGAGGATGGAGCCTTTGCCTTGCTGGCGACAGTGACGGTGCACGGACAGCACATGGATGTGCACAGTGGGGGTGTCTGGGACATGCTGAGTCATCGCTTCCTGTAAGGGAGGGGATTACAATAATGATTTTAAGGCACCCATGAGCCCAAAATGCTACCAAAGATCACTCAACTATCAACTATCACTATTTAAGGGTAAAACCAGATTTGTCTGATATTTTGATATAGTCCATGTTCAGTCCTACCTGTGATAGTCTCTCCTTGTCCCAGCCAGAGCCGATGATGAAAGCCACCAGCCGGCCCTCTTCAAACCAGCCCAGCGACAGCTCAGGGCACTGACCAAGGAAGTTAAGCACTTCATCAAGGGTAAGAGGACACTCTCCAGACACAGAGACAAATGCTGCGGAGAGAAAAGAACCAGTTGAGACTGTGGGTTAAGCTCTGTGAGTAATTAGGACAAAGAACAAGAACAGAGAGGATTAAATGAATGAGTCTTCTCAAAAAGGTTATTGAAAACCCAAAAGCAGTGTTGAAGATATGCTAGAAATTCCTCATTGAGACACTGAAAATAGCCTACTATGTGATTAATTTGCCAAACACAGTTTGACGGAGTATGACGTTTTATTGTTTAAGCTTGACGTACCTTCTCTCTCAATCTCAAACACACTGATGGCGTCCTGTGGCGTGAGGTTCCTGAACTCACTTGCAGGGAGTGTGTGTCTTCTCTGTCGCAGTGGGTTTACCACTCTTACGGGCGTCTTCAGGAAAAAAGGCTTGAGGAACGGTGAGCCGCAGACCTGTGCCATGATGTTTCAATAACACAAGAAATGCTCTTCTGGTTATTTGTCGGGAATACTCTCTCAATTTGTTTGCTTTAACTCCAGCCGAATACTGATGCAGTGAACAATGCTCCAAAAGAAAGTCATGCCCTGCCAAAACAAAAAGAAACAACCTCTCTGTTCTCTGTTTGTCCAACAGCTCTGACTACAAGTTAACTCACTCACTCAGTCAAGATGCTGAGCCTCCTGTCTCTCCTGCTTTCTCCTCCAGCTCCTTTTCTTTGTCTCAGATCTCGTGCTGTAAAGTAGGTGTCTCAAAGCAGGAAAGCTGCACGTGCCTCCAAAGTCTCTAAATCCCCCTGCTTCCGAATGACACACTGAGACACACTCTCAGAATATTTCTTCAGCGTTCTATTTTTGACAGACAGCTCTGTGAATTAAGCTTCTCATTATTCTTTTTTTATAATTTTCTCAAGTTTGACCCACTTTTGCTACGGTTTTTAACCAAAATCTTGTACCTTGTTTAAGAAAGTGTTGGATATTTTTAGACTTTATGTAAATTGTGTTACTTTGTGATGATGCCATTTTATGGATAAGAATTATGCGGCCGCTCCTCAAAAGGAAAGCTGTTGTTAAGTAGTAAGGTCTTTTACCTGCTTTTTGTAACATAACAATGAGTAAGGTCTTTTTACCTGCTCTTTTGTAATGTTAACAGACAAAGAGTAAGGTATTTTACCTGCTTTTTGTAAAGTGTCTCGAGATAACACTTGTTATGAGTTGACGCTACAAATAAAATTGAATTGAATTGAATTGAATTGAATTGAATTGTTGAACTAGTGTTTACCTAGCAGTACACACTGTCACGTGCACTAACTATAAATTCAGGTGTGTGTTATTCAGGGTCAGGATTAGAGAGACCCGGGTGTGATGGGATACAGCGATACACGTTTTCAGAGATCAAGGGCGTGTGGGCTAAAGGAGTGAGGGGGGGAGGAGAGAGAGATTTGTGTGGATCACTGTAGGGATGATTTCATGCCTCAGAGAGGTTTAGCACAGACTAATTAAATGAGAGAGCACTTGCTCTGACTGCCTTGAGGTAAACCTGGTTATACAGACTTTTGATTGGCTGTCAACACACAAACAAGTTCTGAAAGTTCACAAAGTATTTTTTTGATAATCCTAAAGCCCTCTTCAATCATTTCTCATTTAATACATAAGATAGTCCTGTCATGTATTTGTAGTTTATTATGGTTGCGCAAACAATGTTTAGTAATATTTAGTAAGTGTATTGTTAGCTGTTTTTGGAGGTATTCTGCTGAAAAACTGAGTTCACACCACAGGCTCAGCTCTCATATTGTTGAATGCAGCCCTGAGAGCTTCAAGAGGAATACTTAGAATTGTTTTGTATCAGTCTAATCTTTTCGGATTTCACTACGGTGATGAACGGGAAATCTGCCACATCATCTGCACAGCTGGCCAATCGAAAATGAGATCCTCTTTCCTCATGTGATAATCAGAGGTCAGAAGCAAAAAACATAGCTTGTCCAGGGATGAGGTGACCTTCTCTGACCTGTTGCTTTGTCAATCTGTGCAGCTTGTAAAAAGTGGTGGACCTCACGGCCTTTTAAAACAGCCCGTTTTAACCAACCAACTGACAAGCTGTTCTTTTTGTAATGCTAAAACATGTTTCAGATTTTCAGACAGGCCAAAAATATTTTTTAAAGAATTCAGATGGAGACAGGAATTTTGAAATTGAGACTGTGATAAGTAACATTTGACATTAAACTGATACGGATCGTGTTTTCACATTAACAGCATGTGTGTATGCAAATAAACTTGCATACACATTTTCTCACTGTATTATGTTTTTACAGGCAAGCTTGAGGCAACACTGAAACCAGAATACTTATTAAACTGTACACTAATGTACACCTGTCATTCTAGCTGAGCTGCAGTCAACCAATACTGCTGAAGAATGGCATTTTGTTTGTAACGTGAAACACGGTAGGAAACTTTCAGAGCGCACGGTAGATACTGTATCAAACTGTGATGAACTGTCACACACAGACGGCTGATCTAAGTAAAGCACGTTTTTAGCATATTTCATGTTTTAATACTTATAGTTAAAACCTCTCTATAAATATCTATACGTAAAGTGAAAAACAAAACTAGTTGGAATATTGTCACAATTGGAAAGGACCAATCCATCATTTTCTGAGCATTAAATGCTTATTAGAAAGTACGGTAAAGGATTAGGGCCACTGATTTTTAGAATTCTGACTCTGCGATTAAAGTCAGAATTATGAGATGAAAGTCAGAATTCTGACGCTACATTTTAACTTTTACCCTCAGGTAAAAGTCTGAGTTTTTTAAAAGTTTTAAAGTTTAAAAAAAAAAAAAAAGTCAGAACCCTCCCATTTCAGTTGCCTAATCCTCTTCAGTCCTGATACAAACATACTTTTAACCATATAAATTTCAAAGCCTATAAACCTACATTAAAGTTATTTATTGACTAATGTCTTAAAATGATACAGTACTAGGGGGATTAGCTTACATTGTGGCCTTTGTTTGAAAAAAACTGTATTTGAAATACTTAGCTATGAAGTTAGCTTTTTATTACATCAAGAAACAAGTCAACAACAACGATTAGCCATACAAGAAAACATTCATTACCAATGTTAAATAAAATGATAGACAATCCGAAATGACATCAGCACAAAGCAGCTGTGACAAAAGTTGTTGATATAGACGACTAAAAAAACATGTTCAAATATTTACATGTTAATAATTAAATGTAAGTGTGGCACTTGTAGGTGGAGTTGTGACTGATAACAACTGTACTAATGTGAAAACAACTGCTGCAGGCAGATTACTCACTTTGTATTGCATTTTATATAATAGACGTACAGAGTCAACAGAAGTCAGATTGCTATTTTTACCTGCTCAAAGACACTTGTTGAGAGGCTTGTGTGTGTGTGTGTGTGTGTGTGTGTGTGTGTGTGTGTGTGTGTGTGTGTGTGTGTGTGTGTGTGTGTGTGTGTGTGTGTGTGTGTGTGTGTGTGTGTGTGTGTGTGTGTGTGTTATTCATCCTCTTAACTGGGGTTGCATCTAATGAACTTGTTGACAGGGCAGTGCAGGTTGTGTTTTATCCTTCATCCTGCTGCCACCAGACTTTGTTTATTCATCAGTTAATTAACTGACAAGCCTGGCTTCATGGTCCAAATTGTGTTTGTTACTTTGCCAGCAGACGGCGCTGATTTGCCTGATTTGTCATATAGAGGACTTATGTCAACCGCGGCTGGTAAGGCAGGCTCAGAACACATTCCTCCGACTTCAACAATTTAATATTTGATTTGTTCTAACTACAGCATGACGTATCAATGTAGTAATATGTGTGAAGGAGACAAAAATTCCATGTTGAAGCTCACAATCAACAAAAAACATATAAAAAATAGTGTCACTGATCATAAATAGTATTTTATTCATACCTTGGCAGTACTTTTGAAACGTTTTTTTTTTTTTTACATTATTATGCATTGCGTCCTTTGACCTGAGGCATATTAATCTTTCTTTTAACCCACCTCTTCCCACAAGTAATCCCAGTGTGTAATTAGTGATAAATCAATAAATCACTTTGTCCAGATACCCTGAATTAGAAAAAAAACATCCTGTTAATCTCAGACCAGGACATCAAGGTCAAATGTAATTTAAATGAAGTAATTCAGCCACTGTCTTGATATCTGTGGATATTTCAACAGATTTGAATCATCAAAATTGTATGAGTTCAGAAGACAACTGGGAGCTGAAGTACTGAATCATCGGTCTTTATTGTTATTCACATGCTGTTATACACACGAGGAGAGACAGGAACTGATTTGAACAGAGAGCCACAGACCACCTACTGTGGAGTGATCCTGGATACCAGGTCAACCGTGGTCAGAACAGGAAGAGGAAGGCACGGTGTCAAGTTGAAATGGCACAGAAGAAAAGAGGGATAAAAAGACAAAATAACCATCTCAATAAAAAAAAAAAAAGCAATGAAATGTTTCAGACCTTTACAAATTCACATGCAAATGCTAGCCCAAATTGTTGAAATGCAACGTTTTGCATTTAGTGCATTGGGTGTGTTCCTTCCGATCAAACAACCTTAATACAAACCTTTAATGCATATTTGATACACAGTCATAACAAAAGTCAACAAACACTTCAAATTAATATTGCAAAAAAACACAATAAGACGATACATTTTTTTTTTCCAGTAGCATGAGGCTTGCGATAGAAAAAAAAAAAAAAAGGGCTCTGTACATCAGCATCAAAAATCCTGTCTATGGGCTGGAAACAGCTATGTATTGTTTGTGGCATTAATAAGAACACTAATGTCCAATGCAACAAGCAGGCAGCCATAATCAAGTCAAGGCACAAAGATCTATATGCATGGCGCTACACATACAGGACCAAGGTAAGAAATTTAAGCACCTGACCCCCCTTTTTTTTTTTAAGCTATACCACATAAGCAGACACCGGCATTGCCACAAAAAGACTGTACAGACATCTGCCACATCTACGACAAGCACAATGTGTCATATTGTGTCAGCATGTATGTAGCTGGAGTATCTACGCTTGTTGCAGTTTGTTAGCTCTCTTTGTGCTCAGCTGTTAGGATGTTGACGCTTAAATAATGTGCATCGTCCTTGAACGTAGCTCTATTTCTTCATTATCTCTTTGAATAAGTAATATAGTATACCATTTGGAAGTTACTATACATGATTCTAGTAGTTAGGATACATAGATATCACATAGATAGAATAAAAAAAACATACATGACGATGTTTGAGACTGCATACGACTTCAACTAATCTCATTATAAACTCTTTGTTATAAGGAATGGATTATAAACGAGTGCAAAATCACTTCAAATAGACACACAGACATATAATTCATATTTTTTTTAGTTTTTTTTTTAGATTTCTGCTCATAACTCAAAGCAAATTGCTGGAAAAAACAAGTTAAAGTTATTCATGTATGTCACTGATGGATACAATATCTAAACTTAGTTTACAAACTCTTCTGAACTTGGTGTCAAACAGCTGATACAGAGTTCATTTCTCTTAAGTGTGCTTAAAAAGCACCACCATAACCGGTAGTGAAATTTCATTGGAATCCACGTTATTACTACACGGCTACTCCGACTTACACACACACACAACTCAACACCATCTGACAGGAGCTGAAATGTTTTGGAGCTGGGGGGGGGGGGGGACCATCATACCCTTAGACACAGGGAACATCTTTGTGTGGTGTCAAATTTCTTCTCTAAAGTCAAAGACATTGAAGGAATGAACAAGAGTCCTCCCACGTCCTGAGGGGTTTCCTTTCAGGGGCTTCCTTTCAGGGGCCTGACGTCAGCTCTGACCACACAGGAGGATTGTGAGAGGGAAAGGAATAGAGGGATTGAATGATCTGTTTTGTAGAGAGGAAATCAGTTCTGAAGGACGAAGGGGGGGGGGTGTGTGTAAATGTTGCATTAGAGTCAGGGGTCGAGGTGCTCGTCCTCCAGATGAAGGCTGCTCGCGGGACACAGCAGAGGCTGGCTGGAGCAGTTTGTGCTCTGACTCTTCAGGCTTTCTGTTGACTCGGATGAGCCTGGAGACAAAGATGCAACAGATTCAACTTTGATTGGCTGCAAGGAAGCTAGCCGATCAGACTTCACATGAATGGAGAAACATTGTTTGATTAGATAAAAGTCTAGGTTGAGAAACTGGATTGTCATTGGAAATAAATAACCCATCGTTTCCTTCACTGAGAGAACAGGGTTGAGCTCATACACAAGAGAAGCAGAGCGGATAGGAAAGCCTACATACCACAGTTATTCCTCCATACCAATAGAGCAGGAATCAGGACCTAGAGCTGCCCAAAGGGAGGCAGTAAGAAGGCACAGAATGGCAGGAAACAGAAGAGGGTTAGGAAACGGGAGCACAAGAGCTCAGGGTTAAATACAAAGCAGAGGCAATCACAGAAGAATTTAAGAGTAGAGACATTAGAGACATTCAAAGATTAATCACATTTGAAGAAGTTAAAAATTAGCAAGAAACAGGCAGTCTGAGTTTTGATTGCTATCAATTGCTAAGCTGATGTGAAAGAATATTGTCCTTGACTCTTCCTCTTAAGTTTTTCTCACCTGGCAGAGACAAGTCACCCGCTGGGTCGCTCTCTGTTTTGGTCAAGCTGCTGTGCTCACTGCTGCAGTCCTGAAGGATGTCTTCTCCAGAAGGGGGCCTGTCCTCTGAAGCACACATGAGAGAAAATGTAAATACAGCTAAATCCCTGAGAAACTGTCACTGTTTGGTTGAGAGTACTCACCATCATCTGGAGATAGGGATTCTGCAGCGTCCTCGGTCGCTGTGGCCTGAGAGGAGGAGAATGAGATAAATCCTTTTTAAGTTTTTTTTTTTGTTAGCAGCAGAGTGTGAGTTTAAATGTCAGGTGGGGAAGTGGCGGCTTACGTCTGTGGGGGCGGGGCTGCTGGACAGCAGCGTGTGTGGCTGAGCGTCGGACATCTCGGACAACTTCTCCTCATCTTCCTCCTGGATGGGAGAGGACGGAGACCTAAGGGTGCTGCAGTTGTGAAGAAAGCAGAAAGGTTAAAGAAAACAGAAAATCATAAGAAAAATATACATCATGAGTAAACTGTCCTCCACTGAAGAAAATCTGATATAAATGTAAGAACTAACTGAACTCACAGAGCCTGATGTAGTGTGAGGTGTCACTAAGGCTACACATGCAAGGATATCTCTTTATTTCCCGTCCTATCCTGATCATTTACAGCCATGTTTTTCACATTCAATCTGAGATGCTTACCTGTCAGGCGACTTGCTGACTTTGCCTTTCTGCAGACTGCCGTCACTTAAATGCTCGGGGGAGCTCAGCTGCCGGCCGTCACCTCCCACACCCCCCGAGAAGTTGATGTCATCATAGAGGGGGGCGGATGGAATGGCAGGAGACACTGACCGCAGACCGTTCAGAGCTTCCAACAGTGAGATGGGCTCAAAGCCGGGGGGACCGAGTCTGTGCCCTGCAGAGAAGAACATAGTCGAGGAGGAGTGGTGATTAAAAAAAACAAATGTCAGCAAAATGAATGATGATAGCCATTTCACTGCTAACGCTACATGCTTTCACAGGGCTCAAAATTTGCAATATGAGTGTGAAACGTTCTGCTGCATTTCATGTGCACGTGTTTTCTGCCAATGTACAACAAAGTGTAATCAGGAGTTTGGCAGCTTCAGGACTTTACTATGAAGCAGCTGCATGCTGTATATTATTACTTGGAAGTGTTGGCATCATTTAAGTTAGGCTTTCCAGCTGTTCTATGGACGCTGTCCCTTTCATTGTTTTTACTGCAGGACATCATATCACAACAAACCTTTAAAATACGGTATGCACCTTAAATTATCTCCAGATTCCCTTTTGATGTCGCTGCACATCCGAGCAAATTCACGCAGATTTTTAACTGATTATACGCAGGTGTGCATGAGACTCACTGAGTGTTCGTCGTGGTCCATGGTCTGAGCCAGAACGGGGCTGAAAGACACGGGGAGAGAGCGCCGGGCTTTTTCCTCACTGCTCTGATCTGCAGCAGGGCTCTGAAAGCTGAGGAGAGAAACACACGCTTAAAATGAACACCAACAACATTGTAAATAATATATACATGAACCATTAGCTATTCAACAAATAAAGCTTTACAAGATTTATTCAAACTAAGTGAGAGGTCTTACGCAGCCTGCAGATGGGACAGTTGTTGGCCTGGTAACGCAGAGTGTCTGCGCAGGAGTTGCACAGACACAGATGTCTGCAGGGCAGGATGAGTGTGTCTCGCAGGTCGGACAGACACACGACACACTCGTTGCTGTTGTCGCTGTTCTCATCATCTGACGGCTGAAAAAGGCAGAAAAAAATAAAAATAAAACCAGAGTTACTCGAATGAGATTCAACTTTGATTGACTCCTTCAGCAAAGTGATTTGAGCACGAGGAAGTATTTTAATCGAGACCTTTGTTTCTTGGTTGTTCTTGTTCTCGATGCCATAGATCTCCTGTAAAAGGTAGCTCACACGGTCCACCTGGAAAAAAGGGACGTAAACTTAAGTGTTTTACGTTTCATGTTTCCCAAAGCTCACATATTTCACATGTTCCAAATGAACCAGAGAGTCTAAATTGAAAAGAAATCGTTGAGCTCTTTGCAATCTAAGTTTACATTCAACATGGTCTGTGAAGATCTGCTTTACTGCGACTCCCATGAGGCTCGGCACAGATTTTTCTAACGCTGCAGATGAGAACGAGGGCCTCTGATGCTCTGTGTTAAAAAACTTCAAGCACTGCATTAACCACATTCTGGAGCACATTCAGAATGTGCTTCTTAATTTACAGACAAGGATTACGGCTGAAAAAAAATCAGTAAAATATATATACATACATATATATATATGTAAATTCACAATACATTCCACTAAATCAATTAAGAATGGCAGTCATAAACGTACGATTTGTTTCTGCTTCAGAGGCTTGACTGAGAAACTGCCATCAACGTGCTGAGGGTGAGAAAACAAACAAGCATGGATTAGATCTTGTTTCAGGATGACTGAAAGTATCTTCATTTCATATGATGCATACTTACTCTTTCAAAGGCTGCCAATAGCACGTGTGCATGTCCGAGGCAATCTTAAAAAGAAAAGACAGAATAATGTTTGATCCAAATATTGAGCTGTTTGAGTCTCTAAACTTTTTGCAAGCCAGTATCAATAAAGAATAGAAACTATCTGAATGTTATGTAGCCATAGTAACCCACCGTCACCTTCATCAACCACGGCCTGGATCACCATGGGAAACACTCCTCGGTCCAGGTCATAGTTCAGCTTCAAGGGAAAAGTTGTATATCTTATTATGTGCCTCCTCAGTATCAGCAGAAACAAGCCAACAACACTGGAGATAAACTTACTGCTGCAGATACTTACATCTTCCTCTTTCCACTCGCTGAAATCGATTTTGAAAGACGGCATGGAGAACTGCTGGCTCACCCCTCGCTTGTAATGCACAGTTTCAGACACCAGCGATGGATTCTTCGGGCTGTACCTGCAGACAGCATGTTACACAGAGCGTTAAAGACAACAAGAGTTTGACTGACAGGAAGAAAGAAAAAAAACAAACTCAAGAGCAGAGCACAACAGGAGCAGGATCTGTTCTCTATGATCCTGGAGGAATAGCTCATCTTTCACTCTCATTATGAAAAAAATAACTTCAGTTTCAAATATTGCTTTCATCTTTTCACAAATCATATCTGCAGTATCCATGGTTACCGGTGGTTGCTAAGGACCCAGCGTATCTATTCTGGTTGCTGTGCTCTAAGAAACAGAGTTAAGATGTCTCTGGTTTTTAACATCCAAATCCTGTTATGTGTCAGATAATTAAAAAATCTATTTATATGGTAACAGAGAGAGAGAGAGAGAGAGAGAGAGAGAGAGAGAAAACACTTTCTGCGACTCCTGTCTAAAACGAAGGCGCTTTAAGAAGTCCTTACACTGCCATCCCATTGGAGAACTCTTCAAACGCCTGGCAGTAGAGCGTGATGGCCACCCGGGCATCAGCATCGAAGGTGAACTCCACGCCGTACTGAACCTTTGGTTTTCCCCCGTCTTCAGCCACTGGGTCCGAGTCGTCTTTGTATCTAGAATCAAGATCAAAAGGTTGGTCAAAACTTTAGCGTTGACTCGACTTTTACGGTGATTCACAATGTTGTATTGCTCTGTTGTCGTTACCTGACCAAACGCAGAGAGTCCTTTCTGATGTTGACAAGACTCCTCAGAGTTTTCACTGGCTCGTGGGGTGCAGGTGTCACATATGGAAACTGGTGAAATAATGAGAGTAATGTAAAGGATCATGATGAGAAATCATGACTCATTCTATGAGCAAAAACAAGCCCTTTATAAAAATAAAAAAAAAGGCTTTAAAGCTGTGGCGATAATACAGTTCTTAAATCTCAGAAGACCTTGAAGGAAACAAGGACTCAGTAGCTCAGTATGTAGGGACTCTGCTTGGAAACCAGAGGGTCATCAGTTCAAGTCTCTGTACAGTCTAAGTTTTGAAATTTGGCAAAAAAAAAGCATGGGTGCATGCTGCATGGGTGTGGAAAACGATAAAACATTTTCAAAAATAATTTGCCCCCCTGGTGGTCTTCAGTGTGAGGATCCAACTTAGTACTGATTAGGTCTGAGCCACAGCGGGGGAAGTCACAGCCATACCTGCCTTCTCCAGGGCAAAGTACAGCCTGTATGCCTGAAACATGTTGGCATTTTCTTTTAGTCTTTAGTGCTGATGAAATAAAACCTTTTTGTCTACTCCCCCCCTGAGTGCCTCAAACCTCTTCAATAACTTGAAATTGGGCAGCCAGGTGCAAGTTCACTTCCTGGGCACTGTCCAGGCCGAGACACTCGTCCATGTCAGCCCTCTCACTTGTACATCTCTATAGGCTACCTGTTTGTGCATGTGTATTTCAGCCTTTGTGTGCGTAGCATGTCTGAACAATAGAGAGTAAAAAAAAATGAACTGCTCTTCTGGGATGAATTCAAATGTACCTTCTTCATCCATTCTCACCTGTACCGGCCTATTTCCAAGAAAATTCAGGTCCATGTTTTCTCCAAAGAGGTATCCCTCTGGATGTGGCGTGTCAAACTTCTCTCCTCCCATGAAGAAGTGGCTTGCAAAATAATTCCCTGAGGATAACAGGAGGGACAGTGTTATAAATGTGCTACAATCAGTTTAGTGAAAAGATACATTTCAAGACAATTAAAACCTGCCGGAAAAATAATAACTAAACTGGGTCAGCATGGGTGGTAGCTTGAATCTAATTAGCAAATGAATTACTCAAAATGTTTGTTTTTTTGTACAAGTGTAGTTTTTAAACCACCCTTAAAAACACAATGTATTATTTCCAGGAAGTCCATTATCAGCACATTGGTTCTTAGATTATATGATCACCTGAAATGCCAGGTGACAATAAAATGTCTCCTGGTCTTTATGGTGTTAAACTTTGTTTCAGCTGAGTCAGATTTCCCTCAATTCACGGTGACACACCTGTCTCCACCTACTAGGCTTAAACCACCTGAAGGAATCCTTTCTACAAGGTGAAATAGTTCAAACAAAAGACCAAAAGGCATTTTCTTTTGCACAGATTTGACATTTTTTCTCTGAGAAAAACGTGCCTCTTGGGACGCTGAAATAATTTGGAGAAATGAGAGGCGTGTTTGTGGATGTACGCAATTCTATAACTCAATTAAAAATAATAATAAAAAAAGAAACTCGGTACACGTCTGTGTATTCTGCAACAGTGCTGTTCATACAATGTTTCACGCATTGTGATTACGGAGATCACCTGGACGTCGCCATCAGAAGCATTACGTCTGTATACTGTAAATATCTTATTTCCAGCATAAAGCAAGACATTTAAGCAACAGTCAGGCTCATAAACGTCACATCTTTACAATCACAAATGCAACATTGTGTACAGTTAGTTGGTGCAACTCAACAGGAGAGAAATAACATGAAGCTATATGTTCGTCGTGTGCCGTGATGTTTTCCTCTCATTTAGATGATGAATGCGTGTGTCTGAGCTGAACTAAACCACGAAACACTGTCGGATCTTTTACCAGATTTTGGTGGAAAACGGTAGGCCGAGTTAGCCTGGATATCGATATCCTCCACACCAGCGATTCTGCGGCTCAGGATGGACCCCATCTTTCTCTGCTGGATCGCCGATGTTAGCTACAGCTAGCTAGCAGCCTGGCAGCTAAACAGCGCGTCGGCAGTTCTGTTATTGCTGCCTTTAGCGGACAGTAACGCCAAAAGACAGATGACATAGACCACAGATGAACATTGGACCTCCGATTAAGTTTTCTAAACGTTCAGTCTATCAGTGGCTACGCTGCGGATGCTAATGCTAAAGAGGAAACAAATCAATACGAGCTGTTGTTGTGTCAGCGCTGTGGTGACGTAGCAAGGAGACAATCTGATTGGCTGCCTCCAGAAGTTAGGGTGTTAGATCTTCACGCGGGGAACGCCCAGAGGGAGGAGACAGGGGGGAGGGGGGGGGGAAGGGGTCGGGGCAGGGCCATCAGTTAATTAAGTCAAGGTAGATAAAACCAGACCATCCCGAATAATTAAATATGACTGAAGAAAAACCCAAACAACTGTGAGGCCTACTCGAATAAAATGTACACACAATGATATTCAAGCGAAAATAAATTCATAAACCACAATATTCTCCCAACAAATTACTAAATATTTTTTGCTGAGCTATTCTTTGATGAAATAACTCTTGTATGAGGCTAAATGTGGACTAATGGTAACAGATAGTATAAACAACTGATCCATTAAATACACACTCGCACAATAATAGGCTATATTAAGGGCTCTGCTTTGTGACTATCTTTTGGGATTAGCGAGACCATTAGAAAGAACACCCTGTTTGGTTTTTTAAAATCTATTTGTATGTTTTTAATAACTGTGTATTGAAATTGCGCTAGAAAGCCCTTGTTGATTGTTTACTTGAGGATCAGTGGAAAGCTGGATATCCCCCCAGCAGTCACAGTGAGGACTATGAAATTCAATTTGTTGTCATAATTTAGTAAATAACTTGATACAAATATGTTTATCTCAGATGTTTGGTGTGAATTACATCCATATTGGGGTATTACAAAAAACAAAAGCATTCTTTTACCACGTGTTGCCATTATACAGCATGTTTGACATGAGATACAGGAAAGATTTATCAAATTAAAATATAGTCCCAGTCAATCTGGGATCAGTAATAGGTTTTAATAACACACATATAGTGTTAGTGGGGCGGCCCTTGTTTTTACATTTAGATCACATTTTGTGATTTTAAATGTAAACACGCTGGGAAAAGAGAGTAGATGAAGAAATTGAACTTCGGAACTCTTCAAAGCCACAAAGAGTGGAATCATTCTGAGTTTTCAAAGGACAGATTGCATTCTATTTGTCTTTGATGACTCATCAGATGTTTAAATAAGACAACTGCTGTCCAGACAGTCATATCGTTTTGTTCCTTTCAACAAGTGTCAGCACTTAGAGAGAGACTACTCAACGATCACTAAGCAAGACTTTGTCTAGATATTTCTGTTCATCAGAGACAATCTTCAAACTCTAACAGCAGCAATTCTTTGTGTCTACGACAACCAGCCAAAGAAAATGCAGCAAGCAACCGAAGCAAGAGGGAACAACAGAACTGTTTACTTCAGACAGCAGGGCAACGGTAAAGAGATGGAGCTTAAAAGACTCCGCCGGGATGTGGGGCAGCTCACTGAACTGTTGGAGAGAGAGAGGCAACACTGCTGCAAGGAGAAGAACGAAAGAATCCTGATGATCCAAGAGCTGCAGGAGACAAAGGAAAGTCTTGCAAAGCAGAAATCCCTCAAAGAAATGTACATCAACAGGGGAAAGGACACCAGAAGAGAGCTAGAGAGGCTGGAAAAGTACTGCAACGAAGAGACCCTCTCCGCATTTAAGATGGCCCAGAAGGTGAATGACACCACCAGGCAGAAGAAGAAGAAAGATCTTCATGCTGACTATGAGGAGCTGAAGGTGGCACACCTAGTTAGTACTGAGAAGTTCAGTGCTGACCTCCAGGGTGAGAAGGAGAAAAACAATGTCCTTCAAGGTGAAGTAGACAACCTCAAAGTCTCACACCATGAGCTCAAGCTCAAGTATGAAGCTGACAAGCTCGCCGCCAATCAGCTGGTGGAATCCCTTCTGCGTGAGAAGGAACAGCAAAGCCAGGCTCACGCAGAAAGAGTGTCCCAAGACCAGCAGCTGATTTGGACCTTGAGAGCTGAGCAGGAAGCCCTCTGTCAGAAGGCCACCGAGGAGATTGCTGTCCTGCAGCAGGCTGCTTTTGAGAAGGACATCAAGTTCCAGTCTGAGCTGGAAAACCTCAGACGTCAGCTCAGCAATCAGAAGAGCATGGAGGAGGAGTATAAGAAGCTGCAAGTGGCTTATAAAGCCAGCCAAGAGAAGTTCACAGCTGAGCTCCAGCAAGAGAAGGACAAGACAACGCTTCTCCAACAAGAACAGGAGAAGTTAAGAGTGTCCACGGACGAGCTCAGCCAGAGAGACCAAACAGATGTTCTCGCTCTGAAACAGCAGACTGAAAACCGCCAGCGAGAGCTTGAGACAGAAAACAAGTCTCTCTACAACACAATTGCAGAGAGCCAGGTTTTAATCTGGAATTTGAACACTAAAAATGCTGTCCTCCAGCACAAGATGGAGCAGGAGATCAGTGGACTACAGCAGCTATTCATGGAGAAGGAGAGCATCCAATGTCAAGAGGTGGAGGGGCTCAAAACACAGATCACTCTTCTCACCTCACAAAACATGGAGCTTTCCAGTGAACTGAAGGCCAATAGGGAGGAGTACATGCTCCCAAGAAGAAAGAGAGCCAGCCGGGAGGAGACTCAAGATGAGCTGTGCATGGAGGTGACCGTCCCTGATGTAACTTCAGGACCTGAGGGATCTCCAGCTGAAGAAACATTGCAGCTGGAGCCTGTGGAGGAGGGTGCAGCAGCATCTGAAGACAAGCCTCAAGAGCCAGTGAAGCAGATGTCCAAGCTGAAACAATTCAGACACTCACTGGGGCTCGTAAAACCTCAAAGCTGGAAGAAAAAAAAAGAACCTTCTTCCTCGACCCTCCCACCTCCTCCCCAACCTTAAAACCCCCTAACTGATAAACCTTTTTCACATGTAAAAGATGTTTTGTAATAAGGCTTATTCAAAAAAGTGACATATGAAAACTTCACGTCATCTTATGGGGGCATGGTGGTTACAGTGATTAGCACTGTGGCCTCACAGGAAGAACCTGCTGACCAGCGGGGAACTTCCTGTGTGGAGTTTGTCTGTTCTCCCCAAACCTTTGCAGGTTTTTCTCCGGGACGCTCCGGTTTCCTGCCAAACATCCAAAAACATTCACCATAGGTTAATTGGCTACTCTTAATTGTCCTCCAATTTGCACTTGAAAAAATAATAAAAGAAAAAATAACATCATTTCCCTTCACAGAGTTGTGGCTTGTTTTATGTCATTGTAGAGATATGTTACTAAGAACATGCTGTCAATATTTGAGCGATACATGAGATATAGTGTGATATTTAACGATGAATGAAAGTGATGGATAAAGGTGATAAACACAACAGGACTTACATTACTGTTTAACGGGAACATATCAGTCATAATGGTTAACGTGTAAAAAAAAGCCACAGTGTTGAAAAAAGAAGAAAAAGGAAAAAGATAGAATCAAACTTCAGACATCTCAAAAGGGGTTGAAATATTTATTTAAAGTATCTTTAACAATACACTCATTTGATCTCAGAATCAGAGTAGTTTAAGGCCTTCCCGTTGCTGTGTTTGTGACAATATTGACATTTGTTCTCATCAGGTGAACAGGTTATGTCAATAGAAAGCGTCATTTAGGCTTCTGTAGTCTTTGTGTCAAAAAAATAAAACTGTATACTGACTGTTAGAGCCATTTGTGTGTTCAGTATGTATGTGTGCTCTGTGGTAGTTCCTTGTGGTGACAGTAGGGGGCACATTCACTTTGGTGTTGGGAAGGTCACAAGTAGAGGAAGAGTTAATCACGGACAGGTGAGCAGCCCACCGTGAGAGGCACACAGTTTTTGACTTAATGTAGTGGCTTGATCTTGCGTATCAAAAATTTGAGCCACATAGGGGCTGATAGCCTACCGCACTTAATTGACGCGCTGTTGAAATGTATCGTGAATGGAACATTTATCCTGGCTTTGTTTTACATTCAAGTTATAGTGGAATAAGTGTATGTAGACAACCAGAATATGTATTGTAAATGAACGATTCAGATAAACCCGTTTTGAGTGTGACAGCACGGAGTTGATTGAATTATTGCCACGAAACACGGAAACAGCGCGTCAATTAAGTACGGTAGGCTATCAGCCCCTCAGTGGCAAACTTTTGATATACGCAAGATCAAGCCACTACATTAAGTCAAAAACTTAGCTTTAAATTGGACAATTGGAAGCTGAAAGAACGTGAAAGAACGCCATCGTTGCATAGAGGCAGATTCAACGTTGGATTCCCCCAGACTTGTTTGGCTCGCTGGAGGACGCCGGGTGCATCGTTTGGTTACGAGGAGGACGCCGGGTGCATCGTTTGGTTACGAGGAGGACGCCGGGTGCATCGTTTGGTTACGAGGAGGACGCCGATCATCGCCGTGCAATATGTCGCTGTGCAATATGTCGCATTGAAGGCAGCGAGCAGCGTTGAACTGCTAGTCTAACAACGATGAGTTTAAATGTATTTTAAATATGTAAAATAAATCCTTTTTTGACTTTCAGCACACCGCCGACAGCGTGTTCCAAAAGGTATCGTTGTCAGACCAGTCCAACTCAACGGCGCCCACCGACTCTGAGGTATGGGTAGCGCTACCATGGCCATGTTTAAATGTGTGCACACAACTTTGCGAGCGTAATCCCAATGCATTGGTTGCCAAAAATAAACTGATCGTTGCGAAATAAGACTGAACTTTGTGATCGATTGTAATGTTCGTGCTGGACGTGCGTTATGGAACAATATAAACAAAACGGGGACATAATGGACGGTAAAATTGACGAGCCGGCAGCTGCGTGCACAGCTGATCCGGCGGCGGCTCGAACAGCTGATCCTGCTGCGGCTGCAGCGGAAATGGGTAACGTTAATGAAACACAGTCTGTAAAGGGTAAAAGATCTGTTAAATTAACTTACAAAGCTCTGGCTGAAAAAGTAGAAAGGCTACAAAATATAAGAAAAGATCAATTAAATAAGGCCAGAAATCTAAGAAAAATTACTCTGGAGCTCATGCAGCGCAGCAGGGTGAAAGAGGTAAAATGTACACTTGAAAAAATGGTTTGTCTGTGTGGGGAAGCAAAAGTTGCGCATGATTCTCTGGTGCCTTTAATGCCCACTGATGAAAGGGATAAACAAGATACATGGTTTTCTGCAAAAATGCTTGCTGAGAAGGGTTTCATTTCTGATGTTGAAAATTGGTTGACAAACAATGACAGTAATGATGATGTTGATGTGAACCCTTTTGATGATGTCAGACCTGATGACAGCATATCAAATGTTACCAGTAAACACTCTAACCGCAAAAGTGCAGCCAGTGGTAAAAGTAAATGCTCTTCCTGCATCAAAGTACAGGCAGAAAAAGCTGCACTTCTTGCTCGTGTTGCAATACTTAAGGAAAAGCATGCTTTGGAGGCCCAGGAGGAACAGTTAGGAAGAAGAAGGGAGCAGCTCACCCTTGACGCACACTTACAGCTACATGAAAACTGTTGTGTTACTTCTACAGATGTTTTATGCACATTGGTGTGAATTACACCCATATTGGGGTATTACAAAAAAACAAAAGCATTCGTTTACCAAGTGTTGCCATTATACAGCATGTTTGACATGAGATACAGGAAAGATTTATCAAATTAAAATATAGTCCCAGTCAATCTGGGATCAGTAATAGGTTTTAATAACACACATATAGTGTTAGTGGGGCGGCCCTTGTTTTTACATTTAGATGACATTTTGTGATTTTAAATGTAAACACGCTGGGAAAAGAGAGTAGATGAAGAAATTGAACTTCGGAACTCTTCAAAGCCACAAAGAGTGGAATCATTCTGAGTTTTCAAAGGACAGATTGCATTCTATTTGTCTTTGATGACTCATCAGATGTTTAAATAAGACAACTGCTGTCCAGACAGTCATATCGTTTTGTTCCTTTCAACAAGTGTCAGCACTTAGAGAGAGACTACTCAACGATCACTAAGCAAGACTTTGTCTAGATATTTCTGTTCATCAGAGACAATCTTCAAACTCTAACAGCAGCAATTCTTTGTGTCTACGACAACCAGCCAAAGAAAATGCAGCAAGCAACCGAAGCAAGAGGGAACAACAGAACTGTTTACTTCAGACAGCAGGGCAACGGTAAAGAGATGGAGCTTGAAAGACTCCGCCGGGATGTGGGGCAGCTCACTGAACTGTTGGAGAGAGAGAGGCAACACTGCTGCAAGGAGAAGAACGAAAGAATCCTGATGATCCAAGAGCTGCAGGAGACAAAGGAAAATCTTGCAAAGCAGAAATCCCTCAAAGAAATGTACATCAACAGGGGAAAGGACACCAGAAGAGAGCTAGAGAGGCTGGAAAAGTACTGCAACGAAGAGACCCTCTCCGCATTTAAGATGGCCCAGAAGGTGAATGACACCACCAGGCAGAAGAAGAAGAAAGATCTTCATGCTGACTATGAGGAGCTGAAGGTGGCACACCTAGTTAGTACTGAGAAGTTCAGTGCTGACCTCCAGGGTGAGAAGGAGAAAAACAATGTCCTTCAAGGTGAAGTAGACAACCTCAAAGTCTCACACCATGAGCTCAAGCTCAAGTATGAAGCTGACAAGCTCGCCGCCAATCAGCTGGTGGAATCCCTTCTGCGTGAGAAGGAACAGCAAAGCCAGGCTCACGCAGAAAGAGTGTCCCAAGACCAGCAGCTGATTTGGACCTTGAGAGCTGAGCAGGAAGCCCTCTGTCAGAAGGCCACCGAGGAGATTGCTGTCCTGCAGCAGGCTGCTTTTGAGAAGGACATCAAGTTCCAGACTGAGCTGGACGACCTCAGAAGTCAGCTCAGCAATCAGAAGAGCATGGAGGAGGAGTATAAGAAGCTGCAAGTGGCTTATAAAGCCAGCCAAGAGAAGTTCACAGCTGAGCTCCAGCAAGAGAAGGACAAGACAACGCTTCTCCAACAAGAACAGGAGAAGTTAAGAGTGTCCACGGACGAGCTCAGCCAGAGAGACCAAACAGATGTTCTCGCTCTGAAACAGCAGACTGAAAACCGCCAGCGAGAGCTTGAGACAGAAAACAAGTCTCTCTACAACACAATTGCAGAGAGCCAAGTTTTAATCTGGAATTTGAACACTAAAAATGCTGTCCTCCAGCACAAGATGGAGCAGGAGATCAGTGGACTGCAGCAGCTATTCATGGAGAAGGAGAGCATCCAATGTCAAGAGGTGGAGGGGCTCAAAACACAGATCACTCTTCTCACCTCACAAAACATGGAGCTTTCCAGTGAACTGAAGGCCAATAGGGAGGAGTACATGCTCCCAAGAAGAAAGAGAGCCAGCCGGAGGAGACTCAAGATGAGCTGTGCATGGAGGTGACCGTCCCTGATGTAACTTCAGGACCTGAGGGATCTCCAGCTGAAGAAACATTGCAGCTGGAATCCTGTGGAGGAGGGTGCAGCAGCATCTGAAGACAAGCCTCAAGAGCCAGTGAAGCAGATGTCCAAGCTGAAACAATTCAGACACTCACTGGGGCTCGTAAAACCTCAAAGCTGGAAGAAAAAAAAAGAACCTTCTTCCTCGACCCTCCCACCTCCTCCCCAACCTTAAAACCCCCTAACTGATAAACCTTTTTCACATGTAAAAGATGTTTTGTAATAAGGCTTATTCAAAAAGGTGACATATGAAAACTTCACGTCATCTTATGGGGGCATGGTGGTTACAGTGATTAGCACTGTGGCCTCACAGGAAGAACCTGCTGACCAGCGGGGAACTTCCTGTGTGGAGTTTGTCTGTTCTCCCCAAACCTTTGCAGGTTTTTCTCCGGGACGCTCCGGTTTCCTGCCAAACATCCAAAAACATTCACCATAGGTTAATTGGCTACTCTTAATTGTCCTCCAATTTGCACTTGAAAAAATAATAAAAGAAAAAATAACATCATTTCCCTTCACAGAGTTGTGGCTTTTTTATGTCATTGTAGAGATATGTTACTAAGAACATGCTGTCAATATTTGAGATACATGAGATATAGTGTGATATTTAACGATGAATGAAAGTGATGGATAAAGGTGATAAACACAACAGGACTTACATTACTGTTTAACGGGAACATATCAGTCATAATGGTTAACGTGTAAAAAAAGCCACAGTGTTGAAAAAAGAAGAAAAAGGAAAAAGATAGAATCAAACTTCAGACATCTCAAAAGGGGTTGAAATATTTATTTAAAGTATCTTTAACAATACACTCATTTGATCTCAGAATCAGAGTAGTTTAAGGCCTTCCCGTTGCTGTGTTTGTGACAATATTGACATTTGTTCTCATCAGGTGAACAGGTTATGTCAATAGAAAGCGTCATTTAGGCTTCTGTAGTCTTTGTGTCAAAAAAATGAAACTGTATACTGACTAATTCACTTTGAAATAAATCCTTTCTTTGCTTCATGTGGAATACTTCAATGTTTGTCTGCAATATGAAGCACACATTATGTGGTACTTTTTATGATTAAGACGGGGTTGCACACTTACAGCTACATGAAAACTGTTGTGTTACTTCTACAGATGTTTTATGCACATGGTGTGAATTACACCCATATTGGGGTATTACAAAAAACAAAAGCATTCGTTTACCAGTGTTGCCATTATACAGCATGTTTGACATGAGATACAGGAAAGATTTATCAAATTAAAATATAGTTTTCAGTCAATCTGGGATCAGTAATAGGTTTTAATAACACACATATAGTGTTAGTGGGGCGGCCCTTGTTTTTACATTTAGATCACATTTTGTGATTTTAAATGTAAACACGCTGGGAAAAGAGAGTAGATGAAGAAATTGAACTTCGGAACTCTTCAAAGCCACAAAGAGTGGAATCATTCTGAGTTTTCAAAGGACAGATTGCATTCTATTTGTCTTTGATGACTCATCAGATGTTTAAATAAGACAACTGCTGTCCAGACAGTCATATCGTTTTGTTCCTTTCAACAAGTGTCAGCACTTCGAGAGAGACTACTCAACGATCACTAAGCAAGACTTTGTCTAGATATTTCTGTTCATCAGAGACAATCTTCAAACTCTAACAGCAGCAATTCTTTGTGTCTACGACAACCAGCCAAAGAAAATGCAGCAAGCAACCGAAGCAAGAGGGAACAACAGAACTGTTTACTTCAGACAGCAGGGCAACGGTAAAGAGATGGAGCTTGAAAGACTCCGCCGGGATGTGGGGCAGCTCACTGAACTGTTGGAGAGAGAGAGGCAACACTGCTGCAAGGAGAAGAACGAAAGAATCCTGATGATCCAAGAGCTGCAGGAGACAAAGGAAAATCTTGCAAAGCAGAAATCCCTCAAAGAAATGTACATCAACAGGGGAAAGGACACCAGAAGAGAGCTAGAGAGGCTGGAAAAGTACTGCAACGAAGAGACCCTCTCCGCATTTAAGATGGCCCAGAAGGTGAATGACACCACCAGGCAGAAGAAGAAGAAAGATCTTCATGCTGACTATGAGGAGCTGAAGGTGGCACACCTAGTTAGTACTGAGAAGTTCAGTGCTGACCTCCAGGGTGAGAAGGAGAAAAACAATGTCCTTCAAGGTGAAGTAGACAACCTCAAAGTCTCACACCATGAGCTCAAGCTCAAGTATGAAGCTGACAAGCTCGCCGCCAATCAGCTGGTGGAATCCCTTCTGCGTGAGAAGGAACAGCAAAGCCAGGCTCACGCAGAAAGAGTGTCCCAAGACCAGCAGCTGATTTGGACCTTGAGAGCTGAGCAGGAAGCCCTCTGTCAGAAGGCCACCGAGGAGATTGCTGTCCTGCAGCAGGCTGCTTTTGAGAAGGACATCAAGTTCCAGACTGAGCTGGACGACCTCAGAAGTCAGCTCAGCAATCAGAAGAGCATGGAGGAGGAGTATAAGAAGCTGCAAGTGGCTTATAAAGCCAGCCAAGAGAAGTTCACAGCTGAGCTCCAGCAAGAGAAGGACAAGACAACGCTTCTCCAACAAGAACAGGAGAAGTTAAGAGTGTCCACGGACGAGCTCAGCCAGAGAGACCAAACAGATGTTCTCGCTCTGAAACAGCAGACTGAAAACCGCCAGCGAGAGCTTGAGACAGAAAACAAGTCTCTCTACAACACAATTGCAGAGAGCCAAGTTTTAATCTGGAATTTGAACACTAAAAATGCTGTCCTCCAGCACAAGATGGAGCAGGAGATCAGTGGACTGCAGCAGCTATTCATGGAGAAGGAGAGCATCCAATGTCAAGAGGTGGAGGGGCTCAAAACACAGATCACTCTTCTCACCTCACAAAACATGGAGCTTTCCAGTGAACTGAAGGCCAATAGGGAGGAGTACATGCTCCCAAGAAGAAAGAGAGCCAGCCGGAGGAGACTCAAGATGAGCTGTGCATGGAGGTGACCGTCCCTGATGTAACTTCAGGACCTGAGGGATCTCCAGCTGAAGAAACATTGCAGCTGGAATCTGTGGAGGAGGGTGCAGCAGCATCTGAAGACAAGCCTCAAGAGCCAGTGAAGCAGATGTCCAAGCTGAAACAATTCAGACACTCACTGGGGCTCGTAAAACCTCAAAGCTGGAAGAAAAAAAAAGAACCTTCTTCCTCGACCCTCCCACCTCCTCCCCAACCTTAAAACCCCCTAACTGATAAACCTTTTTCACATGTAAAACATGTTTTGTAATAAGGCTTATTCAAAAAGGTGACATATGAAAACTTCACGTCATCTTATGGGGGCATGGTGGTTACAGTGATTAGCACTGTGGCCTCACAGGAAGAACCTGCTGACCAGCGGGGAACTTCCTGTGTGGAGTTTGTCTGTTCTCCCCAAACCTTTGCAGGTTTTTCTCCGGGACGCTCCGGTTTCCTGCCAAACATCCAAAAACATTCACCATAGGTTAATTGGCTACTCTTAATTGTCCTCCAATTTGCACTTGAAAAAATAATAAAAGAAAAAATAACATCATTTCCATTCACAGAGTTGTGGCTTTTTTATGTCATTGTAGAGATATGTTACTAAGAACATGCTGTCAATATTTGAGCGATACATGAGATATAGTGTGATATTTAACGATGAATGAAAGTGATGGATAAAGGTGATAAACACAACAGGACTTACATTACTGTTTAACGGGAACATATCAGTCATAATGGTTAACGTGTAAAAAAAGCCACAGTGTTGAAAAAAGAAGAAAAAGGAAAAAGATAGAATCAAACTTCAGACATCTCAAAAGGGGTTGAAATATTTATTTAAAGTATCTTTAACAATACACTCATTTGATCTCAGAATCAGAGTAGTTTAAGGCCTTCCCGTTGCTGTGTTTGTGACAATATTGACATTTGTTCTCATCAGGTGAACAGGTTATGTCAATAGAAAGCGTCATTTAGGCTTCTGTAGTCTTTGTGTCAAAAAAATGAAACTGTATACTGACTAATTCACTTTGAAATAAATCCTTTCTTTGCTTCATGTGGAATACTTCAATGTTTGTCTGCAATATGAAGCACACATTATGTGGTACTTTTTATGATTAAGACGGGGTTGCACACTTACAGCTACATGAAAACTGTTGTGTTACTTCTACAGATGTTTTATGCACATGGTGTGAATTACACCCATATTGGGGTATTACAAAAAACAAAAGCATTCGTTTACCACGTGTTGCCATTATACAGCATGTTTGACATGAGATACAGGAAAGATTTATCAAATTAAAATATAGTCAGTCAATCTGGGATCAGTAATAGGTTTTAATAACACACATATAGTGTTAGTGGGGCGGCCCTTGTTTTTACATTTAGATGACATTTTGTGATTTTAAATGTAAACACGCTGGGAAAAGAGAGTAGATGAAGAAATTGAACTTCGGAACTCTTCAAAGCCACAAAGAGTGGAATCATTCTGAGTTTTCAAAGGACAGATTGCATTCTATTTGTCTTTGATGACTCATCAGATGTTTAAATAAGACAACTGCTGTCCAGACAGTCATATCGTTTTGTTCCTTTCAACAAGTGTCAGCACTTAGAGAGAGACTACTCAACGATCACTAAGCAAGACTTTGTCTAGATATTTCTGTTCATCAGAGACAATCTTCAAACTCTAACAGCAGCAATTCTTTGTGTCTACGACAACCAGCCAAAGAAAATGCAGCAAGCAACCGAAGCAAGAGGGAACAACAGAACTGTTTACTTCAGACAGCAGGGCAACGGTAAAGAGATGGAGCTTGAAAGACTCCGCCGGGATGTGGGGCAGCTCACTGAACTGTTGGAGAGAGAGAGGCAACACTGCTGCAAGGAGAAGAACGAAAGAATCCTGATGATCCAAGAGCTGCAGGAGACAAAGGAAAATCTTGCAAAGCAGAAATCCCTCAAAGAAATGTACATCAACAGGGGAAAGGACACCAGAAGAGAGCTAGAGAGGCTGGAAAAGTACTGCAACGAAGAGACCCTCTCCGCATTTAAGATGGCCCAGAAGGTGAATGACACCACCAGGCAGAAGAAGAAGAAAGATCTTCATGCTGACTATGAGGAGCTGAAGGTGGCACACCTAGTTAGTACTGAGAAGTTCAGTGCTGACCTCCAGGGTGAGAAGGAGAAAAACAATGTCCTTCAAGGTGAAGTAGACAACCTCAAAGTCTCACACCATGAGCTCAAGCTCAAGTATGAAGCTGACAAGCTCGCCGCCAATCAGCTGGTGGAATCCCTTCTGCGTGAGAAGGAACAGCAAAGCCAGGCTCACGCAGAAAGAGTGTCCCAAGACCAGCAGCTGATTTGGACCTTGAGAGCTGAGCAGGAAGCCCTCTGTCAGAAGGCCACCGAGGAGATTGCTGTCCTGCAGCAGGCTGCTTTTGAGAAGGACATCAAGTTCCAGACTGAGCTGGACGACCTCAGAAGTCAGCTCAGCAATCAGAAGAGCATGGAGGAGGAGTATAAGAAGCTGCAAGTGGCTTATAAAGCCAGCCAAGAGAAGTTCACAGCTGAGCTCCAGCAAGAGAAGGACAAGACAACGCTTCTCCAACAAGAACAGGAGAAGTTAAGAGTGTCCACGGACGAGCTCAGCCAGAGAGACCAAACAGATGTTCTCGCTCTGAAACAGCAGACTGAAAACCGCCAGCGAGAGCTTGAGACAGAAAACAAGTCTCTCTACAACACAATTGCAGAGAGCCAAGTTTTAATCTGGAATTTGAACACTAAAAATGCTGTCCTCCAGCACAAGATGGAGCAGGAGATCAGTGGACTGCAGCAGCTATTCATGGAGAAGGAGAGCATCCAATGTCAAGAGGTGGAGGGGCTCAAAACACAGATCACTCTTCTCACCTCACAAAACATGGAGCTTTCCAGTGAACTGAAGGCCAATAGGGAGGAGTACATGCTCCCAAGAAGAAAGAGAGCCAGCCGGGAGGAGACTCAAGATGAGCTGTGCATGGAGGTGACCGTCCCTGATGTAACTTCAGGACCTGAGGGATCTCCAGCTGAAGAAACATTGCAGCTGGAATCTGTGGAGGAGGGTGCAGCAGCATCTGAAGACAAGCCTCAAGAGCCAGTGAAGCAGATGTCCAAGCTGAAACAATTCAGACACTCACTGGGGCTCGTAAAACCTCAAAGCTGGAAGAAAAAAAAAGAACCTTCTTCCTCGACCCTCCCACCTCCTCCCCAACCTTAAAACCCCCTAACTGATAAACCTTTTTCACATGTAAAACATGTTTTGTAATAAGGCTTATTCAAAAAGGTGACATATGAAAACTTCACGTCATCTTATGGGGGCATGGTGGTTACAGTGATTAGCACTGTGGCCTCACAGGAAGAACCTGCTGACCAGCGGGGAACTTCCTGTGTGGAGTTTGTCTGTTCTCCCCAAACCTTTGCAGGTTTTTCTCCGGGACGCTCCGGTTTCCTGCCAAACATCCAAAAACATTCACCATAGGTTAATTGGCTACTCTTAATTGTCCTCCAATTTGCACTTGAAAAAATAATAAAAGAAAAAATAACATCATTTCCCTTCACAGAGTTGTGGCTTGTTTTATGTCATTGTAGAGATATGTTACTAAGAACATGCTGTCAATATTTGAGCGATACATGAGATATAGTGTGATATTTAACGATGAATGAAAGTGATGGATAAAGGTGATAAACACAACAGGACTTACATTACTGTTTAACGAGAACATATCAGTCATAATGCTTAACGTGTAAAAAAAAAGCCACAGTGTTGAAAAAAGAAGAAAAAGGAAAAAGATAGAATCAAACTTCAGACATCTCAAAAGGGGTTGAAATATTTATTTAAAGTATCTTTAACAATACACTCATTTGATCTCAGAATCAGAGTAGTTTAAGGCCTTCCCGTTGCTGTGTTTGTGACAATATTGACATTTGTTCTCATCAGGTGAACAGGTTATGTCAATAGAAAGCGTCATTTAGGCTTCTGTAGTCTTTGTGTCAAAAAAAATGAAACTGTATACTGACTGTTAGAGCCATTTGTGTGTTCAGTATGTATGTGTGCTCTGTGGTAGTTCCTTGTGGTGACAGTAGGGGGCACATTCACTTTGGTGTTGGGAAGGTCACAAGTAGAGGAAGAGTTAATCACGGACAGGTGAGCAGCCCACCGTGAGAGGCACACAGTTTTTGACTTAATGTAGTGGCTTGATCTTGCGTATCAAAAGTTTGAGCCACTGAGGGGCTGATAGCCTTCCGCACTTAACTGACGCGCTGTTGAAATGTATCGTGAATGGAACATTTATCCTGGCTTTGTTTTACATTCAAGTTATAGTGGAATAAGTGTATGTAGACAACCAGAATATGTATTGTAAATGAATGATTCAGATAAACCCGTTTTGAGTGTGACAGCACGGAGTTGATTGAATTATTGCCACGAAACACGGAAACAGCGCGTCAATTAAGTACGGTAGGCTATCAGCCCCTCAGTGGCAAACTTTTGATACGCAAGATCAAGCCACTACATTAAGTCAAAAACTTAGCTTTAAATTGGACAATTGGAAGCTGAAAGAACGTGAAAGAACGCCATCGTTGCATAGAGGCAGATTCAACGTTGGATTCCCCCAGACTTGTTTGGCTCGCTGGAGGATGCCCACTGATGAAAGGGATAAACAAGATACATGGTTTTCTGCAAAAATGCTTGCTGAGAAGGGTTTCATTTCTGATGTTGAAAATTGGTTGACAAACAATGACAGTAATGATGATGTTGATGTGAACCCTTTTGATGATGTCAGACCTGATGACAGCATATCAAATGTTACCAGTAAACACTCTAACCGCAAAAGTGCAGCCAGTGGTAAAAAGTAAATCCTCTTCCTGCATCAAAGTACAGGCAGAAAAAGCTGCACTTCTTGCTCGTGTTGCAATACTTAAGGAAAAGCATGCTTTGGAGGCCCAGGAGGAACAGGTAGGAAGAAGAAGGGAGCAGCTCACCCTTGACGCACACTTACAGCTACATGAAAACTGTTGTGTTACTTCTACAGATGTTTTATGCACATTGGTGTGAATTACACCCATATTGGGGTATTACAAAAAAACAAAAGCATTCGTTTACCAAGTGTTGCCATTATACAGCATGTTTGACATGAGATACAGGAAAGATTTATCAAATTAAAATATAGTCCCAGTCAATCTGGGATCAGTAATAGGTTTTAATAACACACATATAGTGTTAGTGGGGCGGCCCTTGTTTTTACATTTAGATGACATTTTGTGATTTTAAATGTAAACACGCTGGGAAAAGAGAGTAGATGAAGAAATTGAACTTCGGAACTCTTCAAAGCCACAAAGAGTGGAATCATTCTGAGTTTTCAAAGGACAGATTGCATTCTATTTGTCTTTGATGACTCATCAGATGTTTAAATAAGACAACTGCTGTCCAGACAGTCATATCGTTTTGTTCCTTTCAACAAGTGTCAGCACTTAGAGAGAGACTACTCAACGATCACTAAGCAAGACTTTGTCTAGATATTTCTGTTCATCAGAGACAATCTTCAAACTCTAACAGCAGCAATTCTTTGTGTCTACGACAACCAGCCAAAGAAAATGCAGCAAGCAACCGAAGCAAGAGGGAACAACAGAACTGTTTACTTCAGACAGCAGGGCAACGGTAAAGAGATGGAGCTTGAAAGACTCCGCCGGGATGTGGGGCAGCTCACTGAACTGTTGGAGAGAGAGAGGCAACACTGCTGCAAGGAGAAGAACGAAAGAATCCTGATGATCCAAGAGCTGCAGGAGACAAAGGAAAATCTTGCAAAGCAGAAATCCCTCAAAGAAATGTACATCAACAGGGGAAAGGACACCAGAAGAGAGCTAGAGAGGCTGGAAAAGTACTGCAACGAAGAGACCCTCTCCGCATTTAAGATGGCCCAGAAGGTGAATGACACCACCAGGCAGAAGAAGAAGAAAGATCTTCATGCTGACTATGAGGAGCTGAAGGTGGCACACCTAGTTAGTACTGAGAAGTTCAGTGCTGACCTCCAGGGTGAGAAGGAGAAAAACAATGTCCTTCAAGGTGAAGTAGACAACCTCAAAGTCTCACACCATGAGCTCAAGCTCAAGTATGAAGCTGACAAGCTCGCCGCCAATCAGCTGGTGGAATCCCTTCTGCGTGAGAAGGAACAGCAAAGCCAGGCTCACGCAGAAAGAGTGTCCCAAGACCAGCAGCTGATTTGGACCTTGAGAGCTGAGCAGGAAGCCCTCTGTCAGAAGGCCACCGAGGAGATTGCTGTCCTGCAGCAGGCTGCTTTTGAGAAGGACATCAAGTTCCAGACTGAGCTGGACGACCTCAGAAGTCAGCTCAGCAATCAGAAGAGCATGGAGGAGGAGTATAAGAAGCTGCAAGTGGCTTATAAAGCCAGCCAAGAGAAGTTCACAGCTGAGCTCCAGCAAGAGAAGGACAAGACAACGCTTCTCCAACAAGAACAGGAGAAGTTAAGAGTGTCCACGGACGAGCTCAGCCAGAGAGACCAAACAGATGTTCTCGCTCTGAAACAGCAGACTGAAAACCGCCAGCGAGAGCTTGAGACAGAAAACAAGTCTCTCTACAACACAATTGCAGAGAGCCAAGTTTTAATCTGGAATTTGAACACTAAAAATGCTGTCCTCCAGCACAAGATGGAGCAGGAGATCAGTGGACTGCAGCAGCTATTCATGGAGAAGGAGAGCATCCAATGTCAAGAGGTGGAGGGGCTCAAAACACAGATCACTCTTCTCACCTCACAAAACATGGAGCTTTCCAGTGAACTGAAGGCCAATAGGGAGGAGTACATGCTCCCAAGAAGAAAGAGAGCCAGCCGGGAGGAGACTCAAGATGAGCTGTGCATGGAGGTGACCGTCCCTGATGTAACTTCAGGACCTGAGGGATCTCCAGCTGAAGAAACATTGCAGCTGGAATCTGTGGAGGAGGGTGCAGCAGCATCTGAAGACAAGCCTCAAGAGCCAGTGAAGCAGATGTCCAAGCTGAAACAATTCAGACACTCACTGGGGCTCGTAAAACCTCAAAGCTGGAAGAAAAAAAAAGAACCTTCTTCCTCGACCCTCCCACCTCCTCCCCAACCTTAAAACCCCCTAACTGATAAACCTTTTTCACATGTAAAACATGTTTTGTAATAAGGCTTATTCAAAAAGGTGACATATGAAAACTTCACGTCATCTTATGGGGGCATGGTGGTTACAGTGATTAGCACTGTGGCCTCACAGGAAGAACCTGCTGACCAGCGGGGAACTTCCTGTGTGGAGTTTGTCTGTTCTCCCCAAACCTTTGCAGGTTTTTCTCCGGGACGCTCCGGTTTCCTGCCAAACATCCAAAAACATTCACCATAGGTTAATTGGCTACTCTTAATTGTCCTCCAATTTGCACTTGAAAAAATAATAAAAGAAAAAATAACATCATTTCCCTTCACAGAGTTGTGGCTTGTTTTATGTCATTGTAGAGATATGTTACTAAGAACATGCTGTCAATATTTGAGCGATACATGAGATATAGTGTGATATTTAACGATGAATGAAAGTGATGGATAAAGGTGATAAACACAACAGGACTTACATTACTGTTTAACGGGAACATATCAGTCATAATGGTTAACGTGTAAAAAAAAGCCACAGTGTTGAAAAAAGAAGAAAAAGGAAAAAGATAGAATCAAACTTCAGACATCTCAAAAGGGGTTGAAATATTTATTTAAAGTATCTTTAACAATACACTCATTTGATCTCAGAATCAGAGTAGTTTAAGGCCTTCCCGTTGCTGTGTTTGTGACAATATTGACATTTGTTCTCATCAGGTGAACAGGTTATGTCAATAGAAAGCGTCATTTAGGCTTCTGTAGTCTTTGTGTCAAAAAAATGAAACTGTATACTGACTAATTCACTTTGAAATAAATCCTTTCTTTGCTTCATGTGGAATACTTCAATGTTTGTCTGCAATATGAAGCACACATTATGTGGTACTTTTTATGATTAAGACGGGGTTGCACACTTACAGCTACATGAAAACTGTTGTGTTACTTCTACAGATGTTTTATGCACATGGTGTGAATTACACCCATATTGGGGTATTACAAAAAACAAAAGCATTCGTTTACCACGTGTTGCCATTATACAGCATGTTTGACATGAGATACAGGAAAGATTTATCAAATTAAAATATAGTTTTCAGTCAATCTGGGATCAGTAATAGGTTTTATTAACACACATATAGTGTTAGTGGGGCGGCCCTTGTTTTTACATTTAGATCACATTTTGTGATTTTAAATGTAAACACGCTGGGAAAAGAGAGTAGATGAAGAAATTGAACTTCGGAACTCTTCAAAGCCACAAAGAGTGGAATCATTCTGAGTTTTCAAAGGACAGATTGCATTCTATTTGTCTTTGATGACTCATCAGATGTTTAAATAAGACAACTGCTGTCCAGACAGTCATATCGTTTTGTTCCTTTCAACAAGTGTCAGCACTTCGAGAGAGACTACTCAACGATCACTAAGCAAGACTTTGTCTAGATATTTCTGTTCATCAGAGACAATCTTCAAACTCTAACAGCAGCAATTCTTTGTGTCTACGACAACCAGCCAAAGAAAATGCAGCAACCAACCGAAGCAAGAGGGAACAACAGAACTGTTTACTTCAGACAGCAGGGCAACGGTAAAGAGATGGAGCTTGAAAGACTCCGCCGGGATGTGGGGCAGCTCACTGAACTGTTGGAGAGAGAGAGGCAACACTGCTGCAAGGAGAAGAACGAAAGAATCCTGATGTCCAAGAGCTGCAGGAGACAAAGGAAAATCTTGCAAAGCAGAAATCCCTCAAAGAAATGTACATCAACAGGGGAAAGGACACCAGAAGAGAGCTAGAGAGGCTGGAAAAGTACTGCAACGAAGAGACCCTCTCCGCATTTAAGATGGCCCAGAAGGTGAATGACACCACCAGGCAGAAGAAGAAGAAAGATCTTCATGCTGACTATGAGGAGCTGAAGGTGGCACACCTAGTTAGTACTGAGAAGTTCAGTGCTGACCTCCAGGGTGAGAAGGAGAAAAACAATGTCCTTCAAGGTGAAGTAGACAACCTCAAAGTCTCACACCATGAGCTCAAGCTCAAGTATGAAGCTGACAAGCTCGCCGCCAATCAGCTGGTGGAATCCCTTCTGCGTGAGAAGGAACAGCAAAGCCAGGCTCACGCAGAAAGAGTGTCCCAAGACCAGCAGCTGATTTGGACCTTGAGAGCTGAGCAGGAAGCCCTCTGTCAGAAGGCCACCGAGGAGATTGCTGTCCTGCAGCAGGCTGCTTTTGAGAAGGACATCAAGTTCCAGACTGAGCTGGACGACCTCAGAGTCAGCTCAGCAATCAGAAGAGCATGGAGGAGGAGTATAAGAAGCTGCAAGTGGCTTATAAAGCCAGCCAAGAGAAGTTCACAGCTGAGCTCCAGCAAGAGAAGGACAAGACAACGCTTCTCCAACAAGAACAGGAGAAGTTAAGAGTGTCCACGGACGAGCTCAGCCAGAGAGACCAAACAGATGTTCTCGCTCTGAAACAGCAGACTGAAAACCGCCATCGAGAGCTTGAGACGGAAAACAAGTCTCTCTACAACACAATTGCAGAGAGCCAGGTTTTAATCTGGAATTTGAACACTAAAAATGCTGTCCTCCAGCACAAGATGGAGCAGGAGATCAGTGGACTACAGCAGCTATTCATGGAGAAGGAGAGCATCCAATGTCAAGAGGTGAGGGGCTCAAAACACAGATCACTCTTCTCACCTCACAAAACATGGAGCTTTCCAGTGAACTGAAGGCCAATAGGGAGGAGTACATGCTCCCAAGAAGAAAGAGAGCCAGCCGGAGGAGACTCAAGATGAGCTGTGCATGGAGGTGACCGTCCCTGATGTAACTTCAGGACCTGAGGGATCTCCAGCTGAAGAAACATTGCAGCTGGAACCTGTGGAGGAGGGTGCAGCAGCATCTGAAGACAAGCCTCAAGAGCCAGTGAAGCAGATGTCCAAGCTGAAACAATTCAGACACTCACTGGGGCTCGTAAAACCTCAAAGCTGGAAGAAAAAAAAAGAACCTTCTTCCTCGACCCTCCCACCTCCTCCCCAACCTTAAAACCCCCTAACTGATAAACCTTTTTCACATGTAAAACATGTTTTGTAATAAGGCTTATTCAAAAAGGTGACATATGAAAACTTCACGTCATCTTATGGGGGCATGGTGGTTACAGTGATTAGCACTGTGGCCTCACAGGAAGAACCTGCTGACCAGCGGGGAACTTCCTGTGTGGAGTTTGTCTGTTCTCCCCAAACCTTTGCAGGTTTTTCTCCGGGACGCTCCGGTTTCCTGCCAAACATCCAAAAACAGTCACCATAGGTTAATTGGCTACTCTTAATTGCCCTCCAATTTGCACTTGAAAAAATAATAAAAGAAAAAATAACATCATTTCCTTTATAGAGTTGTTGCCTTTTTTATGTAATTGTAGGGAATGTTATTAAGAACATGTTGTCAATATTTGAGAGATACATGAGATATAGTGTGATATTTAACGATGAATGAAAGTGATGGATAAAGGTGATAAACACAACAGGACTTACATTACTGTTTAACGGGAACATATCAGTCATAATGGTTAACGTGTAAAAAAAGCCACAGTGTTGAAAAAAGAAGAAAAAGGAAAAAGATAGAATCAAACTTCAGACATCTCAAAAGGGGTTGAAATATTTATTTAAAGTATCTTTAACAATACACTCATTTGATCTCAGAATCAGAGTAGTTTAAGGCCTTCCCGTTGCTGTGTTTGTGACAATATTGACATTTGTTCTCATCAGGTGAACAGGTTATGTCAATAGAAAGCGTCATTTAGGCTTCTGTAGTCTTTGCGTCAAAAAAATGAAACTGTATACTGACTAATTCACTTTGAAATAAATCCTTTCTTTGCTTCATGTGGAATACTTCAATGTTTGTCTGCAATATGAAGCACACATTATGTGGTACTTTTTATGATTAAGACGGGGTTGCACACTTACAGCTACATGAAAACTGTTGTGTTACTTCTACAGATGTTTTATGCACATGGGTGTGAATTACACCCATATTGGGGTATTACAAAAAACAAAAGCATTCTTTTACCACGTGTTGCCATTATACAGCATGTTTGACATGAGATACAGGAAAGATTTATCAAATTAAAATATAGTTTTCAGTCAATCTGGGATCAGTAATAGGTTTTAATAACACACATATAGTGTTAGTGGGGCGGCCCTTGTTTTTACATTTAGATCACATTTTGTGATTTTAAATGTAAACACGCTGGGAAAAGAGAGTAGATGAAGAAATTGAACTTCGGAACTCTTCAAAGCCACAAAGAGTGGAATCATTCTGAGTTTTCAAAGGACAGATTGCATTCTATTTGTCTTTGATGACTCATCAGATGTTTAAATAAGACAACTGCTGTCCAGACAGTCATATCGTTTTGTTCCTTTCAACAAGTGTCAGCACTTAGAGAGAGACTACTCAACGATCACTAAGCAAGACTTTGTCTAGATATTTCTGTTCATCAGAGACAATCTTCAAACTCTAACAGCAGCAATTCTTTGTGTCTACGACAACCAGCCAAAGAAAATGCAGCAAGCAACCGAAGCAAGAGGGAACAACAGAACTGTTTACTTCAGACAGCAGGGCAACGGTAAAGAGATGGAGCTTGAAAGACTCCGCCGGGATGTGGGGCAGCTCACTGAACTGTTGGAGAGAGAGAGGCAACACTGCTGCAAGGAGAAGAACGAAAGAATCCTGATGGTCCAAGAGCTGCAGGAGACAAAGGAAAATCTTGCAAAGCAGAAATCCCTCAAAGAAATGTACATCAACAGGGGAAAGGACACCAGAAGAGAGCTAGAGAGGCTGGAAAAGTACTGCAACGAAGAGACCCTCTCCGCATTTAAGATGGCCCAGAAGGTGAATGACACCACCAGGCAGAAGAAGAAGAAAGATCTTCATGCTGACTATGAGGAGCTGAAGGTGGCACACCTAGTTAGTACTGAGAAGTTCAGTGCTGACCTCCAGGGTGAGAAGGAGAAAAACAATGTCCTTCAAGGTGAAGTAGACAACCTCAAAGTCTCACACCATGAGCTCAAGCTCAAGTATGAAGCTGACAAGCTCGCCGCCAATCAGCTGGTGGAATCCCTTCTGCGTGAGAAGGAACAGCAAAGCCAGGCTCACGCAGAAAGAGTGTCCCAAGACCAGCAGCTGATTTGGACCTTGAGAGCTGAGCAGGAAGCCCTCTGTCAGAAGGCCACCGAGGAGATTGCTGTCCTGCAGCAGGCTGCTTTTGAGAAGGACATCAAGTTCCAGTCTGAGCTGGAAACCTCAGACGTCAGCTCAGCAATCAGAAGAGCATGGAGGAGGAGTATAAGAAGCTGCAAGTGGCTTATAAAGCCAGCCAAGAGAAGTTCACAGCTGAGCTCCAGCAAGAGAAGGACAAGACAACGCTTCTCCAACAAGAACAGGAGAAGTTAAGAGTGTCCACGGACGAGCTCAGCCAGAGAGACCAAACAGATGTTCTCGCTCTGAAACAGCAGACTGAAAACCGCCATCGAGAGCTTGAGACGGAAAACAAGTCTCTCTACAACACAATTGCAGAGAGCCAGGTTTTAATCTGGAATTTGAACACTAAAAATGCTGTCCTCCAGCACAAGATGGAGCAGGAGATCAGTGGACTGCAGCAGCTATTCATGGAGAAGGAGAGCATCCAATGTCAAGAGGTGGAGGGGCTCAAAACACAGATCACTCTTCTCACCTCACAAAACATGGAGCT